GTTATGCAACATTATTTTAATTATCAATTAATATTCAAAAATGAACAGAGGACTTACATTTCTATAGTGTCTTTTATGACATGAAGATATTCCAAAGTGCTTTGCAGCAAAGTATTCTTGTTACATCAGAAATGCAGTTCCCATTTTGCTCACAGCAAGCCTCCACAAGCTGCAGTGCGATAATGAACAGATCATCTGTTTTTCAATGATGTTAATGAAGGATAGATATTGCACCAGGACACTGGAGAGATTTACTCTATTCTCTGAAACATGTCCCTCTTGTAAAGGCAAATGGGTCTGTGGGTTTAAAGTCTTGTCCTGAATTTGATACCTCTGATACAGTGCAATGCTCCCATGGTCCTGGGTGAACCTGGTTTGTGCTGAGGTTTCTGAAGGGTCTCTCAAACTCCCTAGTTGCTGATTTAGTTGGTAGCGACTGGGTGAGAGAGGGAATATCACCAACTGAGTCATGGTTTCTGGGCATTTTGTCCTACCACTTTTTAACAAGTTGCCTCATTCTACTTTTAAAAAATGATAGCACTTCCCTTTTCACCAAGCAATTAAGAAGGCAGCATGATCGCAGTTGGCTCTTATTTCGCATAGCACCAATTGCTATGAGTGTAGGCATTACTTAATCAGAGGTTAAAACTGATTGCCTGCCCCTGGCCATGGATCCTTCCTCAGAACTCGACCTGAATCATTAACTCTGATTTCTCTCGACAGATGCTGCCAGACCTGCTGAGCTCTTCCAGCAATTTCTGTTTTTGTCTCTGCAGATGCTGTAAATCAGTTCTTTCAGTTTTTAATCTGATAGAATATGAGTTCCCTGACTGGGACTGTTAATGTGGTACAGTCAGGGAGTCCTGACTGACAGATATAAACAGGAATGTCATGGTTCTGTTCACTCGAGAATCTGGCTCTGAGCAAGCTGGCTAGTGCCAAGATTATCCACGTGTAAATAAAGGGTGCCTTAGTGACGCCGTACTGGCCCTCAAGGAATTATTTCAGTGGTAACGAGAGAAATATACACCCCAAAAGAGATTTCCTTGCAACAATTGTCTTTGCGCTGGGGTAAGCATTTCTGGCATCATGCTGCTATTTAGGAAGCTTGACTCATTCAATCCTGCAATCAAAAACTGGGCCCAGTATTTGGAAAAAATGCTTTTTTTTCTGGGTAAATGACATTGGGGCAGACAAAAAGCAACACATAATTCTCCTGAGATAGTGGGAACGGCCGATGCTGGAGAATCTGAGATAACAAGGTGTAGAGCTAGATGAACACAGCAGGCCAAGCAGCATCGGAGGAGCAAGAAAGCTGACGTTTCGGGTCTAGACCCGTCTTCATAAATGGGGGAGGGGAAGGGAATTCTGAAATAAATAGGGAGAGAGGGGACCTATCCCCTCCCTAACTCCCCACCTACACTCACCTTTACTGTCTCCATCCCCGCCTCTTTGGCCTGTCTCTCTCCTCTCCACCTATCTTCTCCTTTATCCATCTTCTATCCACCTCCCCCTCTCTGCACCAGGTTAGACCTGATCTTGGGGGCAAGGCTAAAATGGCATCAGGAGCGTCAAACACAAGACTCAGCTAAGCGAGGGGGGCACTTTATTTCAGGGGATAAAGTTTGATGTAGGAACCACGGGAATGGCCCTACAGGAGTAAGAGGCACGGTCGAAGCAAGGTCAGGTCCCATAATGTACAAAGTTTGTGTTGGTGAGATGGTCCTGAACAAGCATGTAGACCACATGAAAGCTGCAACCTCGCAAACAGGACGGGAACAAAGCACACCTGGCCCCTCAGAACATCTGGCATGGCTATCAGAACCCGTGGGATTTTTCCCCTCTGCCTGGCGTTGAAGAAACCTCTCAGGATGAGATGTAAAGGGAAGATATCGCAGCCTCGACACTGAAGAAGAAGATGGATTTCTTCCAAGATGCTCCGGGTGGAAGAGGTGGGCTGCAGTCTGGCACACGCTGCCAGTATCCGAGGCAGAGTCGACAGAAACGGACCTGGTGTGAAAACGGTCCAGGACAAGCTACAGGAAAAAGAATGGTTCCTATATCCCAGGACTTAGAGGGGGAGGGATGCAGTGATTGGAATGACGTCAGCCAGATGGACCTCATGGAATATGAGTCCCCTGATTGGGGCAGTTAATCTGGTCCAATCAGGGAGCCCTGGCTGACAGATACAAACAGGAGCGTCAGGGGTTCTGTTCACTCTCGGAGCCAGCTCTGAGCAGGCTGGGCCATTGTCATGTACCATGCACATGTAAACAGAGGGTAACTTGGTAGTGGGATACCAGCCTTTGTGGAATTATTTCATCATCCACAGCTATGTTCTTGCCAGGGTGTCCTTTAGGAGTATTCGGTGTCTACCAATATTCTTGACCCCTTTAGAGAGAGAGTGGCACCACAGGGGATACAGTGCTTTATCTCCCTCTCTGATTTAGCCCCTTCCTGCTCTCCCTACCACGCCTTGACCTTCTGATGGTTTGCATTGACCATAATAGGCTTTGCATTGTAAATATTCAGGTGGCCACGTGGGTGATTTACTGGTGATGGTTAGTAGTTAAAAACAAAAAAGAAGTCACAGTGATTTAGTGATGGGGACAAAACTGTTCGCTTGTGTGTGATAGTACTTCCAGATATAAGAAAAAGAAAACAAAAGCTAAGCCCATCTGCCTCTGTCAGGGAATGAGGGGCTATAATGATATTACGCCTTGTTTGCAGAACAATTAACTCCCATGAGGGGAACTGAAGGATCAATCGCAGCCATTAGGCCTGTGATAGATAATTGTGGGTGTGAGTAAGAGGATGGGGTTGCTTGGGGAGTGTGGGTGAAATTGCTAGGGAGCTCATGATAACTCATCTACAAAGCTTTGGAACCAATTCCCTAGTCTCGCAGGAAGCTGCGGGCTTTCGATCATTTCTGCGTAACTGGTTACAATCAGGATTAGCAGGCTATTCACATAACCATGCGTACAGCTTGGAAGAAGACCATTTGGCCCATTGTGCTGATTCTTTGGAAGAGCTATAAAATTGGAGCCCTCCTCTTTCCCAATTAGCCTACAGTTTTCTTCCTTTCAAATATTTATCCACTTCCTTTTTATTATTGAATCAGCTTCCATCGCTCTTTCAACAAACACATTCTAAGTCATCATAACTTGCTTAGTTTAGAAAACACCTTTTTTTTTGTTTGTTCTTTTGCCAGTTATCATAAATTTGTGCTCAATTATTTACCTCCTGTCACTGGAAACAGCTTTGCCTTGTCTACGATTTATCAAAGTCTCCTCTGAATTGTGTATACCTCGAAGGCCTTGTTTGCCCTGAAGTGATGTCTTTTTGGATCCCCTCTCACTGTGCACTTGCACATGTTGCAGTCCTAAAGCTGCCTTTGTAATGGCAGCCGTTTTGGGTGAGATGCTGTTAAGCTGGGTGGGGGATGGTTGGGGGGAGAAGCAGAGGAGTGATTCAGTGTGCGGATCCATCAGCCAAGAGCTCTGATCTGATTAAATATTGAGTGCCCGGGGACCCCGGGTTACTGGAAAACGTGAGCTTAATTAATGCTAATGAATGTTTCTAATCACACTGTCGCTCTGTTCAATTAATTATTTAACTCTTCAAGTGGTGCCATCTGGTGTAGAGAGAAAGGGAAAGGATTCTGCCTGTTTGATGCAGTGTGGAGAGGACAAGGGCACCTTAATGGTCTGGCTTCTGCACGTTCTCTGTTTGCAGTTCCATTCAGACTGCAGAGATCTGACAAAACAGTCCGTAGCAAAAAAAAAGGCACACTGCTGCTCTCAGTTCTGTGTAGGTCATGTGCTCTTCCTTTCTTACTCTTGCCCCCAACTTTTTTTTTCCTCTTTTTGCAACCGTGCTCCCACCTCCGCCAACCCCCCAACAATTTTCCATGTTGTACTGCTTCCTTTCAGTTTCCACATCACTGATTTTTAATCACATGTGGATGGATGGCCACACTGCTGGCCCTAAGTATTGGAACACCTCCCCTATAATTGCTTAATTCTCTCCTCCTTCGTGTCACTCTTTAAAACTAGCCAAGCCTTCGGTCACCGACGTTCAATGTGTGTCAGATTGTTTCTGGAATTAAAGGACTTTAGGGACATTTAACTATGTCAAGATTGCTGTATCAAAAGCAAGTTGTTCTTGTAATATTTGCTTCCTCCTGATTTTTATCCTCAAAGTTCTGACCTCCTTGACCTTTGACCGGCAGGCTTCAAAATGGCCACCCGTGCTTAATAGGTCTTTCAGTCCTGTGGCCTTGGTTAAGGATGGAGGTCGTAACTGGGTGGTTATGCAATGTGAGCAGGCAGACCGGGGCTCAATTGAAACTGAGGTGGAAGTGGGAAGCTGAGGCTCAGCAATGGGGAGTGGGGAGGTCAGGGCACGTTGGGGGCTAAGCATCAATCTGTTACAGTGGCAACAATTCACCTTCAGTAGAGGCATTTCCCTCCATTTTTATTAGGCCCAGCCAAACTACTCTCATTACCCTTGTACTGTTGACCGTCTGTATGTGCAGCTTCCCTTGTGGGTAGGATCAAACTTAGGGCATTGGCTCAGTCCCAAAGGCTTCTCAATTATACAAAGCCTCTGATTTTATTTTTGCTCCCTACACACTCACAAGGATTTCTAGTGCTATTTCTACATATTGTTTTTAGAAAAATGCTTTGATGAGGAAGCATAAGATTTTGTTCTGGTCCCGATGTCTTCTGTGACTTCACCTGACGAAGGAACAGCGTTCCGAAAGCTTGTGATTTCAAATAAACCTGTTGGAGTATGAGTTGTCTGACTCCTGACTTCATCCCTTACCTGTCCTGGGAGTGTTGGAAGGTGTCAGTATCAAGGGTGCTTAACTTTTATATTAAAACAGAAGAGGGCAATTTAGTTTTATTTAATCCTGTACTTGCCCTATAAGTTATTTGGACAGTGTGGACGGAGCTTTACCCTGTATCTAAGCCTTGCCTTTTCCTTGTTTTCTCCAGGTCATGTCACTCAACAGCCAGAGATGAAGGAAGCCAGCGGGGGATTTGATCTGCAAGGCCGAAGATACTTGATGTGACACTGTGACTGAAAGCACCTTTATGCTCCCTTAACCATTGACCTGTTGACCTTTGCAACAGCCTCACTGCTCCGTGTCACTTCCCCTGCCCCCTGTAATGGCCTGAGCCTTTTCAGAGATTTGGTGCTGTTTGGGATGAAGAGAGCAGCCGTTTTGAGGATGTGAGGGCCCTATGTGGAGTCCTCCGATTGAGTTTTGGTGCAAGGGGAAGAGATGTTCATCTTCTTTCCCCACCTAACCAGGGCTCGTGCCTGGCGATCTCGGCCACTCTCAAGCCAGTAACACACACCTGCAACGCGTGGGTGCTGTTGTCCTGTGAGCAAGGAGCTGCAAGGGACTTTAAGGGGCACGGGACATGCAGTCGGACGATTTTTTCTACAGGAAGTTCAAGAGGAACAACCCACGGCCTTTGCTGTCGGCAGTGAGCTTTGAACCCAAGACACCCAGGTCAACTCCGGAGCCTGCTGGGACGACAGTGCGGGCCAGGATCTCCGAATGGCCGCCCCGGCGAGAGTCGCTGGAGGATGGGGCTGCGAGGAATCACGGCTGTGAGGAGAAAGGGGCCTCTCGACCCCTCGACGAGGCCGCTGGCTCCAAGGGCAACGCGAAGGAGCTGGCGGCCAAGATGACCGCGCAGGGACGTAACCCAGTCATCCAGCGCAGCAACAGTGAGGTGACCATCACCGACAGCGGCTGTGGCCAGGGCTCAGACCAGCGGGTTGTTCACCCCTGCACTGGGGCAGCCCTCCACCGGGACTACGGCAGTGCCTCTTCCATTGAGCGTCAGCAGTCGCGGGACGGGGAGGGTGATGCCAATAGGCCAGGGTCGGAGGTCGCCAGCGCCGCTCGCTTCCACGACCCCTACCTGCTGCTGGGTCTGAGGGAGACCCCTGGTGCCGAAGAGAAAGCAGCAAAGGGCAGGCCCAATGTGGCGGCCGAGCCACCCGCTGAGGCCTCAGTGTTCCGAAAGCTCAAGACCCAGAGAAGTGACCCAGAGAGCCCGAGGTCACCGCCCCCAGTGTCGGCCCTGGTGCCAGGCCCTAACGACTCTTGCCAACCCTGGACCAGTGCCAAGAACGTGGTCCACTACGACGTGCAGAGCATCCTGTTTGACCTGCACCAGGCTGTCTCCAACCGCGACAGCACCGGGCGGCGCAAAAACATCATCACTGGAGCCTCTGCCGCTTCCCAGCTGCCGGCGCAGCCTACCTCTCCCAGCAACAGTGGCAGCACTGAGGAGCTTCACCAGCTGCCGGCAAAATGGGTCGTGCCGGCAGTGGCCGGGGCTGGCACCGGAGGAGATCTGGGTGATGACGAGGACACCCAGCTGGTCCTCAGCTGCCCGCATTTCCGCAACGAGGTGGGTGGCGAGGTGGAGCCGCGGAATGCCAGCCAGTGCCCCAATGCTGCTGTGTCGGTACTGGAGGAACCCCGGGAGAGCTATCTGGCCCGGCAAGGGACCGCTGCTTACTTCATCGAGCATGCAGACCTGGGCGCCAACTATTACCGGAAGTATTTCAGCGGCAAAGGTAATTGTTTAAGAATTAAAACCAAGCTCAGTTATAGCTACAGCTACAGAAGCTGCATTTTGTCTTTGCTTCCAGGTGCAGAATAAAGCTCCTCTACACCGTCCCCATCAAACACTCTCAGGCCAGCACAGAGTTAGGTGCAGAGTAAAGCTCCCTCTACATTGTCCCCTGTCAGATACTGCCAGGACAGGGACAGCACAGAGTTAGATACAGAGTAAAGCTTCCTCTACACTGTCCCCCATCAAACGCTCCCAGAGCTTATACAGCATGTACAGAATGAACTCCTAAACAGAAGTTACGTTAAGCTTGTCTGAACCTTGTTTATATCGCACTTAAAAATGCTGACGCACTCTGGAAGATGCAAACACAATTGAGCAGAACGTCACCAGAACTGAGAGGTTATACACGTCAACACAAGTTGGAGCTATTTTCCTTTTGCCTACCTTTCTCCTTACAGAAACCTGACAAACGTATTAAAATGAAAAGATGATAATGTGAAAGTAGAGAATATGTTTCCACTTGTTGGAGAGACTAGAATAAAGGCTAAAACCTTTTAATATAAGCATGAAACTAATAAATCCAAAAGAGAAATAAGGAGACATTCTTATTTCAGGTTGGTGGCTACTGAAGGGAATGATTTAAGTGATCAGTATATCTACACTTCAAGAGAAGCTGGTTAACCACATGAGGGGGAAAGGAATGAAACAATATAAAGACCAAAAGAACTGCGGATGCTGTAAATCAGGAACAAAAACAAAGTTGCTGGAAAAGCTCAGCAGGTCTGGCAGCATCTGTGGAGGAGAAAACAGGGTTAACGTTTCGGGTCCGGTGACCCTTCCTCAGAACTGAATGAAACAATATGTTGAACTAGTGAGATGAAGAGGATTAGGAGGAGTGGTGCATGAAGATACCACACTGTTGGATCGAATAGCTTTGTTTCTGTGATGTAAATTCTCTGTTAACAGCAGGTGTTTACAACACAACTGAGTCTGTTGCTATAATCCACCCCACACTAGCTCTCTCTGGCATGAGTGATTGATTAGAACGTAGAACATAGAACATTACAGCGCAGTACAGGCCCTTCGGCCCTCGATGTTGCGCCGACCTATGAAACCAATCTGAAGCCCATCTAACCTACGCTATTCCATTATCATCCATATGTTTATCCAATGACCATTTAAATGCCCTTAAAGTTGGCGAGTCTACTACTTTTGCAGGCAGGGCATTCCACGCCCTTACTACTTTCTGAGTAAAGAACCTACCTCTGACATCTGTCCTATATCTATCACCCTTCAATTTAAAGCTATGTCCCCTCGTGCTGGCCATCACCATCCGAGGAAAAAGGCTCCCACTGTCCACCCTATCTAATCCTCTGATCATCTTGTATGTCTCTATTAAGTCGCCTCTTAACCTTCTTCTGTCTAACGAAAACAGCCTCAAGTCCCTCAGCCTTTCCTCATAAGACCTTCCCTCCATACCAGGCAACATCTGGTAAATCTCCTCTGCACCCTTTCCAATGCTTCCACATCCTTCCTATAATGCGGTGACCAGAACTGTACGCAATACTCCAAGTGCGGCTGCACCAGAATTTTGCACCAGAGTGATGAGGAGTATAAGATTTGGCTTTATTTCCCAGTGGGTACACACATGGTAGACATCTATAAAGGAATGTTTTGCATTTGCCTGGGATATCGAGCTTGTCCACTCATCGTGAATGAGAGAAAGCCCTCGAGATTTTGAGGGGAAAAGCAAGCTCTGAGAGAGCACCTGATAAAGATAAGACAATCAAAGCCCAGTAAGGTATCATTTAGACTTGGGCTTGGAACAGTGTTGCTGTTCAGCTTCAATTATTTTATCTCTCCTGTACCCGGCCTCATTGTAGATGTTGCATTTTACCTCTGCTTTTAGGCTGTCAGCACCTTGGAGACCTGTGGTATTTCTTTTCCCGTGCGGTTATATATCTCTGAACGTTTCCTGTCAGGGCTGCAAGCCGTTCTTTCTCTTATGACACATGTTGAGGCCGGTGATCAGTGCCCCCAAATCACATGAGCTGACAAGAGGATGTTGTGGTCAGGCTGAAGCAAGGCCTAGGCAATCCCTTGCTCTGGAACCGGCGATCCTGGGGGCCAAGCGGGCATAAATAATTGCTAGAGAAGAAGGTATTTGTTGCATTGCTCCTGGCTGTCCCTCTCTGATATTCACCCTGGCATGTGCACCACTGCTGTCCAATGTCTGGCATGGCAGCTGTCTTTTGACATGGACAAGTCCGGCTGTTTTGGAAAGGGAGAATGTTGGGGGTTGAAAATTAGACAGGAACACGGCACAATCCAAAGATGTAAGAGAAATGTGTGCTCATCGAATATGCCCCCCAATCGGCAGCTCTTAAAATGGCCCCAGTCTCCATCCTAGAAGGAAAAAACATTTAACCCATTTTGTATAGTTCAAAATAGAGCTCCTGTATGATCAGTATGTTCATTTCCAAGTATTATGGTTTTGTTTCAACCTGTTTTATTGATGAATCTCTCCAGCAATCTTGTGATACTGTCTTTCCCACTTCACATGAATATTAGCAGCACACCCTACTTTCTATTCTCACTGAGTTAGTAGAGTTCAGCCTCCATTCTCTGGGGTTCACTATTTATGGCTGCCGACCTCAAAAGTGATTATTCTGCTTGATTCCTACAGAACATCAGAACTTCTTTGGAACAGACGAGACCCTTGGGCCAGTGGCAGTGAGCCTGAGGCGGGAAGAAAAAGACAAGGATGCAGGGAGCAGCTCGCAGTACTACTACAGGATTATTATCAGGACAACGGAGGTGAATATAGTTGGATAGTTGGGGAATGAGGAATGGAGGGATTGACTGGAGTGGGGTGCAAACTGTTGGTCAGATATGATGTACTTCACCCATAGGTTTGTGGTGTTTCTCTAATTTTCTCCTGCCCTACAATCCAGTGAGATTGTCCCTTCCAGTTCTGGCCTCTTGTGCTTCCCCGATTTTCATCACTGCCCCATTTCCACGTGGAACTTTAGCGACCTGGGCCCTGTTCTCTTGAATCCTCTCCCTAAATATTTCTACCACTCTCATATTTTTGAAACCTACCCCTTTGACCAATTTTTTTTGTCTTTTGTCTTAATATTATACAATGTCTTGCTTTCATAACCTCCGATATTCCAAAACACCTCACAACCAATTGAATATTTTTTTAAATTGTTCACAAGATGTAGGCATTGCTGGCTAGGCCCAGCATTTATTACCCATCATTAATTGCCCCCTTTGAGGTGGTGGTGAGCTGCCTTCTTGATCCACTGCAGTCCATGAGGTGTAGGGACACCCATGGTGCAATTGAGGAGGGAGTTCCAGGACTTGTCCCAGCGACAGTGAGGGAGCGACAATATAGCTCCCAGATCCGGATGGTGTGTAGCTCGGAGGAGACCTTGTAAATGGTGGTACTGTATGCATCTGCTGTCCTTGTCCTTCTCGAGGTCACATATTTGGAAAGTGCAGTCAAAGGATCCTCAAGGATTAATGCAGAGCATTGTAGATGGCATTCACTGTTGCTGTGGGGTATCGGTAGAGAGAGTGAATATTGGAATGAGGTACCTATCCAGTGGGCTGCTTTGTTTGAGATGGTGTCAAGCTTCTTGAGTGTTGTTTGGAAGCGTAGCCGCTGTTGTGGTGTAGGAAACGTTGGAAGTTGGTATTGCAGTTTCTGCTTTGGCCACAATTGGCGATTCTGTTGCAATGTGTGCCCCAAGTTGCAACCAATTTAACATGTTTCTTCCTGTTTTGAGGTTCTGTTCCAACTCATTTGCATATTGCCAAGCACAGAATTTGCCATGTACCGGTGTAATTAGAACATAACATATAGAAACAGAACCAGCCATTCAGCCTTTCAAGCTTGCCTTGTTATTCAACAAGCTCATGGCATCAATGCTTCTGTTCAACTCAAAATCCAGACGGCTTTATAAACTTACTTTTAAAAAATCAAATTGCTGAAAAATATTCCTTGATGGATATAAGAATGATAACTTGCTGAAGTTTGATTAATACAGCTGAAAACGATTTTATCATAAAAGCAATTATTTCAAGTAAGTGACTCAGAGATAGTGGGAACTGCCGATGCTGGAGAATCTGAGATAACAAGGTGTAGATCTGGATGAACACAGCAGGCCAAGCAGCATTCAGAAATTTCTGAAGAAGGGTCCAGACCCGAAACGTCAGCTTTCCTGCTCCTCTGATGCTGCTTGGCCTGCTGTGTTCATCCAGCTCTACACCTTGTTATTTCAAGTAAGTGTCAACTGATTTCAAGCAACTGAAATGGGTCATTTACCAGTGCCCAAAGAGATCATTCAGCCTATTGAGTCTGCACTGACCCTCCAAAGCGCATCCCACCCAAACCTAGCCCTATCCCCGTAACACTGCATTTACCATAGCTAATCCACCCAGCCTGCACATTCCTGGACAGTATGGACAATTTAGCATGGCCAATCCACTTAAGCTGCACATCTTTGGACTGTGGGAGGAAACCGGAGCACCTGGAGGAAACCCACACAGACACAGAGAAAATGTGCAAACTCCACACAGACAGTCACCCAAGGTTGGAATTGAACCAGGTCCCTCGCACTGTCAGGCAGGAGTGTTAAACACTTAAAAAGATACAAAGCTCTATTGTAGTAAAATTGGGGTACATTAAGTAGTTCCTATGCAATGTTTTTAAAAGACTTAATTTAAAAGCCTCCAAAACATTTGTTTTGCGTCCAAAAGATTGTTTAATTTTTTTGAACACCCACCAGGCCTGTGAGTGAGTGCAATTATTAGAAACTTGCCATAGTGCTTAATTTATCCTGATTCAATGTCTGTTTGGAGTCTCCACTTGCCTGGATCAGTACAGCTCCAATAACACTGAAGAAACTCAACCCATCAAGGGCAAAGCAGTCCACTTGAGCAACATCCCATCTACCACCAACATTCATTCCCTCCACCAACAACACAGTGGCAGCAATGTGTACCATCTCCAAAACGCACTGTAGCAATTCACCAAGATTCCTTCTGAACACACGACATCTACCATCTTGAAGGACAAGGGCAGCAGATGAATGGGAACGCCATGCAGGTTCCCTTACAAGTCGCAAACCATTCTGACTTGGAACTATATTGTTCTTTTCACTGCTGCTGGGTCAAAATCCTGGAACTGCCTCCCTGACACCACTGTGGTATACCTCTACCACATGGACTGCAGCAGTTTAGGAAGGAAGTAGATCATTACCTTCTCAAGGGAGATTAGGACGGGTAATAAATAATCCCATGCAAGAACAATTTAAAAAAAAATAATTTTGGTGTAAGTTGGGTCTGCATCCACTGCAACACAGAAATATAGAGGAGCAGAATTAGGCCATTCAAGTCTTCTCATCCATTCAATGTGATCATGGCCGATCATCCAACTCTGTACTTTTAAACAGAAAGTAAAGTTCCCTCCACACTGTCCCCATCAGTCACTCCCAGGACAGTTACAACATGGGGTTAGGTACAGAGTAAAACTTCCTCTATGCTGTCTGCATCAAACACTTCCAGGACAGGAACTTGACAGAGTTAGATATACAGAGTAAAGATCCCTTTATTCTTTTGAATTGAGAGGAAAACTACCTTCAGATTGTCCCCATCAAACACTCCCAGGACAGGGACTGCACGGGGTTAGATACAGAGTAAAGCTCTCTCTACACTGTCCCCATCAAACATTCCCAGGACAGGGACAGCACAGGGTTAGATACAGAGTAAAGTTCACCCTACACTGTCTCCCATCAAACACTCCCTCGGACAGGGACAGCACGGGGTTAGACACTGAGAAAAGCAGCCTCCTCTTTTAAACTGAAGGTAAAGCTCCCGGACACTGTCACAATCAAACATTCCCAGGAATTGTATAGCCCTGGGTTGGTACCAAGTAAAGCTTCCTCTAAATTTATCCTCATCTAATGTGCCCAGAACTGGTGAAACATGGGATGAGATAAAATGAAGTTCCTGTTCCTCTTTTGAACTGAAAGTAATGCTCAATCCACATTGTTCCTATCAGACACTCCCAGGACAAGTACAGCACCGGGTTCAATACCGAGTAAAAATCTCTCTACACTGTCACTATCAAATAAGCCCAGGGCAGGTACAACATGGGGTTGGATGCAGAGTAATGCTCTCTCTGCTCTTTTAAAGTAAAGCTCACTCAACAATTTCTCCATCAGACCTCCCTGGACAAGAACAGCACGTGGTGAGATACAGAGTGAAGTTCCTTCTACTCCTTCAAACTGAAAATAAAGTTTTCTCTACTTTTTAAATGGAAATTAAGGCATACTCAAAACTGTCACCATCAACAACTCCCAGGATAGGGTCAGCACAGATGAGATACAGAGTAAATCTGCCTCTACTCTTTTAAACTGAAAGTTGAGCTGATTCTACTCTATTGAACTTAAGGTAAAGCTCTGTCCACAATGTCGCCATCAAACACTCCCAGGAAATGTACAGCAATGGGTGGTACAGAATATTGCTCCCTCTAGTCATTTAAACTGAAAGAGCACCAGGGTGTCTCAGTGGGTAGCTCTGCTATCTCACAGCGGCAGGGACCTAGGTTTGATCCTAGCCTTGGGCCACTGTCTGTGTGGAGTTTGCATGTTCTCCTCACATTTGCGTGGGCTTCCTCCGGGTGCTCTGGTTTCTTCCCACAGTCCAATATATGCAGGTTAGGGTGGATTGACCATGCTAAATTGCCTCATAGTTAGTGTCCAGGGATGTGTAGGCCAGGTGGATTAGCCATGGGAAAGAGTTCATGCAATATGATGGGGATGGGATGCTGTTCAGATGGTCGGTGCAGACTCAATGGCCAAATAGCCTCTTTCTGTACTGAAGGGATGCTATGATTTAAAGCTGTCTCTACACTGTCCCCATCAAACACTCCCAGGACAGGGACATCATCCAATTCTACTCTGTTCCTGCTGCCTCCGCATACTCTTTCTTTGGCTCTTCGAGGTATATCTAGCTCCTTTGAAAAACAAACTTGTGTAAAAGATTGCAGAAGCAATATACTGTCGAGCAGGCACTCCCAGTGTCGGAAGGAATTGTGCTCCAATTGAACGGTAACTCCACAATGTATAGAATGGAAAAGATGAGCTTTAAAACCCATTCTTTGTGCCTGCAGCTGCGGACCCTCCGTGCGTCGATCCTGGAGGAATCGTTTCCCTCATCCATCCGTCACGGCGCGCAGAGGGGGATTCCGCCAAAGAAACTTCTGGAGTATGTGGTGCCGGGGCTGAACGTCCAGTGTCTTCGATTGGCATCTAACTCCCCCAAAGTGCCGGAAATGCTGCTGAAGTTGGACGAACAAGGGGTAGGAGATTCTGAGACTCCTTGCTGTTGCCCTGCGCGACTCGCCCTGGGGTCAGCATGCAGGCCGCCCGACTCCTCAGGGAGCCTGTCTTCTGCCAGTTTGTGTGCAGCGCACAGCAGCTAAAAGGGATGAACGCATTCGTGCCATGCAATGTGGGTGATATGCCCACTGTGTAAGCGAAGAGTTGTTGGGTACTTTGCAGGAGACACTGCAATAATTGGATAACCACCAAAGCTCAAACCAGCTGCCTTAGCACAGTGCGGGATACTCAACCTGTCACCTCACACAGCTGTCTGCCTCGGCTACCAAGTGGCTAAACCATCTTACGGCAAGCTCTTTGGCAACGCGGCCACAAAGCTGGCAGGTTGTCCCAGGTGCAAAGCACTGGCATGACCAGCCCATGTGCTGTGTGTAATGATGCTCAAGTGACAGAGTGAAGAAAACATCATCAAAAATTGATAGAGTGCGAATGGAAACAAAACTGCCATTCATTATTAATACGATATTTCAGTGGCTCAGTGGATGAATGTGACTGGTGGCCACACACTGCTGAGTCTTGTAGACAGGGAGAGGCTTGGGGTTTCATGTGTGCAGGGATTAGAGAGAGGGAAAATCTGCCAGAGCTCAGTAATTGTATGTGAGTGTGACTGTGTATGAACTGAGTATGATTTGATGTGTACTAGACTCTGTGTCTTTGTCCATGTGAATATGTGATAGAGAGAGAATGTGAATCTACCCAAAACACATTCAGCGAAATTATTAGTACCCATTCCCTGACAAATAGCACAGTTTATGACACTCTTCTCTTCACTATGTGGTCCCTCTCACTTATGCTATCCCTATTTTTTCTTGCTCTTTCCTTCTGAATTTCTTTGTCTCCGTGTCTCTTTCGCTGTTTCCATCCCTCTCTGTTTTTGATCCCCTCATGCGCCCTATCTCATCCCTCCCTCCCTCCCTCCCTCCCCACTCTCTCTCTCTCTCTCTCTCTCTGTCTCTCCCCATTCTGTCTCAATCCTTTGCAATAGGGACAGGAGGCTGAGATCTCCAGGAATTCTGCGTGTTAAATTATTGGGTTGGAAAATGACTAATGAGGACTTTTAACATGCCATCTGATTCAAATCACTAACTGAAGTGTCTAATTAATTATTCAGAACAAGGATATCAACATGTCATAGTTTTAGAGAGATTGAGGTCTGGGTTTTACAGTTTCTGCTCAGAAATGAGGCTTCTTTTTAAAAACAATGTTTTATATTCCTCCTGTTTTCTGAAGGCATAGGGTCTCACAGGGTAATGAGTTCCACAGGCATCAATTTCCTTGGGGAAATTTCCCTGTGCATTGATTCTCACTGGGATATGGGTTTCTCACACACTGAATTTCACTGGGAACTGTGTTTCTCTCACACTGACTCAAACTGGGGTATGGGGTCCCACACACACTAACCCTCACTGGGGTACGGGGTCTCTCGCACATGCACATGCACATGCACACACTCACACACACACATATACACACACACTCTTACACACATACACTCTCTTACATACATACACACACTCTCTTTCTTACACTGACACTCACACTCACACACACACACACCCTTTCACTCACACATACACATACCCTTACACAGACACACACACACACACTCTTACACACACACCATACACACACATACACACTCTCTCCCTCTCTCTCTCTCACACACACTCTTTTACGCACACACACACTCTTACACACACACACACCTCTCTCTCTCTCTCACACACACACTCTTTTACACACACACACACTCTTACACACACACACACTCTTACATACATACACACATTCTCTTACACACACACACACTCTCTTTCACACACACACCCACACACACACTCTTACATACACCCACACACACACTCTTACACACGCACGCGCACTCACACTCTTACATACCTACACACATACACATACTCTCTTACATACACACACACACCCTCACATACACACACCCTCACACACACACCCTTACACACTCGCACACTCTCTTACATACATACACATTACACACTCTCTCTCTCTCTCTCTCACACACACACACACACACACACTCTCACACACACACACACACACACACACACAGAATCTCCTTGGTATGGGTTCGACGTACATTTCTCATGGACTACACTGATTGTCATCTAACACTGTAGCCAGAAGAGCAATAATACAGCTCAGAGAGAGGACGTTCAGCCCATCTTGCTCATGCTTGGCATGAGCAATCTAACCAGTGGGCGCAGCACCGAGAAGTGAGCAGGATTGGACAGCAAGTGTTTTATTTTTATCCCAACTTGTCCAACCAGGAATGGCAATCCTGGGGGCAAGGAGTGGGTTTGCAAGTTTCCAAAAGGGAACCTGACAGCGACTTCAGTTCAGTTTGAATTTCTCTCTCAAGGTGGTCATCTGTCTTCTGAGGGAGAATATTTCTTGGAACGTTTGCTTTGAGGAAGTCCCAAGCCTGTAAGATTCTTTTTATTCGGGTTACTGCCCCTAGGATATGAAATTTTATTGTTATTAATATACATCTTGTGTTTCTTCAACCCACAGCTATCCTTCCAGCGCAAAGTGGGGATCATGTACTGTAAAGCAGGACAGAGCACAGAGGAAGAGATGTACAACAATGAAACCGCTGGTCCGGCCTTTGATGAGTTCCTTGACCTCCTGGGCCAGAGGGTGAAACTGAAGGGCTTTGAGAAATATCGAGCTCAGCTGGACAACAAGAGTAAGTTGAGTGTGATACCAACGGAACAATGAGGGAGGGAGGAGGGGAGCGGAGCGGGGTGCGGCCCCTTACTTTGGATCTGTGGTGGATGGGAGGATTTGTAATCTAAATCCCAACTCATCTTAAAGTAGTGTATTCAAGAAGGTAATAATATTAAATAGCAAGTGACAATAACAGAATGAGGCTAGATACAGAACAAAGCTCCCTCTTTTGAAACTGAAAGAAAAATGGAAAGTAAAGTTCCCTTAAAACCATCTCCATCAAACACTCCTGAGACAGGAATAGCACAGGGTTAAATTACAGGGCAAAGCTCCCTCCGCTGTTTGAACTAAAAATGAACTGCATGTAAAGTTCCCTGTGCATTGTCCCCATCAAACACGTCCAGGACAGGGACAGCACAGGTTAGATACAGAGTAAAATGTCCTCTACACTGTCCCCATCATGCACTCTGAGGACTGGGACTGCATGGGGTTAGATACAGAATAAAGATACATCAGTGCAAGGGCTGATGATGCTAAGTCTTTATTTATTTAATTCCTAAGTTTATTTCTGCTAAGTCACTTTATGGGCTAATAAATAGATGCGATGCATCCTCAAGTCCGTGGATAGCACACTTCAGGTATCCTGGACAACCACATGTGCAGGAAGTGATGTCAGCTTTAGTAACTTGAGCTGCAGATTTCAGAGCAGGCATCAAGAGCCAAGTCCAAGATAGCATGCCTGCCTTAATAGATATATGGGTGTGTGGATAGGAAGTGGGGAAGAAGGAACAGGGCAAAGGCTGGGAAAGCAATAGCGATAAGGGATTCAGCTGGTGCAGTTACAGGCCAGCCTTTCTGCGCCTGCAAATTTGACCATTATTGTTGCTGAACGGTTGAGTCGGGAGGCTGAACACTTAGCGGGTTGTGGTTCATATGCATCGACAAAGAGGGATGAGATTCTGCAGGGAGAGAAACTAGGAAGCAGGGCCCATAAAATAGGGGTAATCGCTGCATAATTCTTGATGCCGTGTGCCACTGAGTCCAGAAATCAGAGGATAAAGCAGATGAATGCGTAGCTGGAGAGGTGGTACAGTAGTGATGGCCTTAGATTCCCGGACATTGGGACTGGTTATTGAGGAGATGAAACCTGTACAAACCAGAGCTGGGACCTGTGTTCTTTTGGGGTGTCGGGAAAGTTTTAAACCAACTTGGCAGGAAATGGTAACTCAGAGATGACATTAGACAGAAAGAAAACGAAGTGTGCAAGGAATTGGGAGAGATAGATGTCACCGCAGTAAGAAAATAAATTTCTAGGCATGAGGTAGGAGGGAATGCTACACGTGCAAAAGAAATGAAGTTACAGTGAAACTTTAGAAATTACTGCTTCAGCTTCAATTGGAATGTTTTATCCAGTTCTGAGTACCACACTTCCAAGGGGTGTAGAGAGTCTGCAGTAAAGATTTATAAGAATGTTTTCAAGGATGAAGAACTTCATTTATGAGGTTAGATGCAAAAATCTGGGACTGGTTCTCCCTAAAGAAGAGAAGGTTGGGAGGTAATTTAATAGAACGGTTCAAAATCATGAATGGCCCAGATGCGGAGGATGGAGAGAAACTGTTCACGTTGTCTGAAGGTTGAGAACCAGACGACACGGATTTAAAGTGCATGGCTAATGAAGCAAAAGTGACATGAGGAAAATCCTTACTAAATCAGCAATTGTTTCAGATCTGGGATATGCTGGTGGAAAATGTGATGGAAGCAGACCTAATTGTGGCTTTCAAAAGGGAATTGGAAAAATAACGAGAGAAAACCATTGTGGGGCTACAGAGTTTAAAAAAAAGGGGAGTGGGACAAGGCGCACTGTTGTCTGCAGGGAACTGACAAGGGACAAATAGCCTCCTGTAACATAATCTGACTTCCTTTGAATGGAGTTATTTGCTAGACCATTTCAGAGAGCAGTTAAATGTCTAGATTCACATGCAGACCAGACTGGGTAAGGATGGCAGAAACCGTTTTTCTACAGGACATTAGTGAAACTGATGGATTTTTACAATGACTGATGACGTGATCATGATCATCATTGCTTGAGGGTTGCCAGCTTCTGTAGAACCCAGTGCACCCCAGGAAGGGGACACAGTACAAGAGAGGAGGAGTGGAGTAGGAGCAGACTGGACCGAGGGTCTAAAAGCTTCCCCTTCTCTTGCAGCGGACTCCACAGGTACTCATTCGCTCTACACCACGTACCAGGAGTATGAGATTATGTTCCACGTCTCAACTATGCTTCCATACACTGCCAACAATAGCCAGCAGGTACGTACCACTTTTGTCTGGACCTATAACTCTCTATTGGGCAGTCTCCACAGACACTGCTTTCAGTAGTCATTAGACAGCTTAGTTTTGTTACTGAACCCATTAGGATAAAAGGTGATAACCTGCTCACATCTGGACCATCACACAACCCCTGTATAGACCAGACCTGATAACTGAGGATTAGACCACCTTCCTCTTCTCACTCAATCTGACATCAGCAGCGAACTCTCCCAGGGCAAATACAACATTGGGTTAGATACAGAGTAAAGCTTCCTCTACACTGTCCCTCATCAAACACTCGGAGGACAGGGACAGCTTGGAATTAGATGCAGAGTAAAGCACCTTCTACGTTGATCCTATCAAACACTCCCATACAGATACAGCACGGAGTTAGACACAAAGTAAAGCTGCTTCTATTCTTAAACTGTAAAAATCACCTCTATACTGTGAGATAGTAAGAACTGCTGATGCTGGAGTCTGAGATAACACAGTTCCCCTCACCTCTCTCTATTTATTTCAGAGCCCCCTTCCCCTCCCCCATTTCTGAAGAAGGGTCCCGACTCGAATCGTCAGCTTTCCTGCTCCTCTGATGCTGCCTGGCCTGCTGTGTTCCTCCAGCTCCACACTGTGTCACCTCTATACTGTCCCCATCAAACACTCCAAGGACCGCGACAGCATAGGGTTAGATACAGAGGAAAGCTCCTTGTTCCAATGCTGTAAGCACACTGGCAGTGGAAGAAAACTTTCAGCAAATAACCTAATGAAGCCTGACATTTGAGCTGTTGTGGGAAAGCTATGTCCTGTTCAAGTATATTGCTTTAGAGCGCGTAACTATTTGCTTTTCTATACCTGCCTTTATTTTGTGATTCTAGCTTTTAAGAAAGCGTCACATTGGCAACGATATAGTCACCATCGTCTTCCAGGAGCCCAAAGCTGGCCCGTTCACACCAAAAACCATCCGATCGCACTTCCAACATGTCTTCCTAGTGGTACAAGTTCACAATCCCTGCACCGAGGAAGTGTCATACAGGTATGTAGGTGCAGGTCTCCTACAGAAAAGTAGGTACACCCATCTCACAGGTTCGTAGGTACAGGCCTCCTGTGAGTACCTGAACACAGGCTTCCTGCAGGTAATTTAAGGATAGGCCTCTTGCAGGCACCTGGAGCCAAGGCCTCTGGTCTGCTCTTGAGAACATATGAACAATTCCAGTCAAATGACCCTCTGGTTCTTCCAGCATGTGTCATATCTAATTGTGATATACTTGTGTGTACCAATATATAATTTCCGCACAAAATCATAGATTCAAATTGTGCGCTGGGATCTGTAGTGATTGTAACAAGGTCAGCCAGATTGAGTCGCATAGAATATGAGTCCCAGATTAGGCTGTTCACCTGGTCCAATCAGGGTGCCCTGGCTGACAGACATAAACAGGAGTTTCAGAGATATTGCTGCTTTGGTAGCTGACTCTGAATGAGGCAGTATTAAATTAAAGGACTGCTCGTGTGTGAATAAAATGTGACTTGGTGACTGATAACGACCTCTGTGGCGTTGCTTCAGGATCCATAACATGAGAGGACAGCCAGGGTGTTAGAATAATATCTCACCCAAAAGATGGCACCGCTGAAAAACAGTGTACTGGAACTGTCTTGAATTCACCGTCAGTGTGGTGCTCCCCACTGCATCCAGCTAACACAGAGGCTAAAAGGCAATAGATAGAGCAAGGCAAAGGGCAACTCCGAAACGAAGGTAGAGTGAGAGCTGAGGTATCCATATTTATGGAGTGCTGACTGTTAGAGGGTAGCAGTGATGGAGCGGCACACTGTTGGAGATGCTATCTTTTGGATGAGATGTCAAACCAAAGCTTCTATCTCTCCCTTCAAGAGGGCATCAAAGATCGCACAGTCACTATTTCATTGATAGCAGTGGGCAGTCCTGGGCTAAACATATCCTTCAACCGGTAAATGATTTGGTCATTTATCACATTACTATCTTTGGAATCATGCTGAGCATGAATTAGCTGTTGTGTTAACTAAATAACAAGTGTTTCTAAAATTAAACATTTCTAACTGTTTGTAGAGGAATATCTGATGTCCAGAGGTGGTGAAATATGTGGAAAATACACATTCTTACTTCTTCTTTCCAGTGTTGCGGTCACCCGATCGAAGGATATTCCTGAGTTTGGGCCCTTTTTCCAGAAGGGGGTGACCTTCCCTAAATCGGCCAACTTCCGGGATTTTTTGCTTGCCAAAGTGGTCAATGCTGAGAACGCGGCGGAGAAGTCAGAAAAGTTCCATGCCATGGCCACTAGAACGCGGCAGGAATACCTCAAGGACCTAGCGGACAACTATGTCACCACAGCAACCCTGGACTCTTCCTCATCCAAATTGGCAGCCATCATCTCGCTGCCTACCAAGAAGAAGGAGAAGTTGAAGTTGAACCGAGCCCCCGAGATGCACAGTGCCGGCGCTCTGGTCTGGAGTGTTACTGCCCGCATGACGCATACCCCTGAGGAAGCTGAGTGCGTCCTGGGAATCTCCAATGAGTTTGTTGTGCTGCTTGATCAGAAGTTGCGAATGGTTGTGTGGAATTGCTCCTGCCGGGATGTGATTGGTTGGACCTTATCTCCTGGGACCATTATAATTTATTACGAGCGAGGAGAATTCGTGATGGTTAAGACTTTGGAAAGCCAGCCAGATGACATCACTGAAATTGTTCAACGGCTGGAGGTAAGTGTGGGAAGAGACTGCGAGATGTGCACCGCCACAGTAACTGCCAGCATGCTGCCCAAAACATGAACTGGGGGCTCGTCCCTGTGCCAAGATGCAAGAGACACCTTGTATTTCCCTATGCATTATCCAAGCTGATAAAATAAAGCGATTAATAAATCAAGCAAACCAACCCAACCCATCTGGCCAGCTAACTATTGCCAAACCCAATAACCTGACCAACCCCAATCACCACACTGCATCTCATCAATTGACCAAACAACTAGCTAACTCCAATCCAGCTACCTGAACCATTCACTAATGCAACAACTGACCCAAACTAAACACAGCAACCTAACTGACCTGAACAACAGAATGCAACTCGCCCACCAATCTATCAAGCAAACAATCTTCCAACCTATTCACTCAAGTCCAGCCACCTACCAATTCAACTCATCCCACTGATTAATCAAATTACCCAACTCTGACCAATGTCCAAACATCCTCTCAACCCAATCAATCTAGTCCAATCGCACGTCCCACTAATCCGAGCTCCTCCTTACTGATAAATCTATACCCAATGGTGCTCTTTAAGCAATGTCAAGAGATGTCATGTGACAGTTGCTTGGAATGTGTCAAAGATGAAAGATGATAACCATCGCCCTTCCCATGCCAGAAATACCAGCTGCAATTGAAAAGTGGCTGGATTGGACAAGAGTTAATGGGGCAGTTTTCTTTTCAATGACTTGAGAGGATGGCCACGCATATTAAGTGGTTTTTAGCCAGGGAAACAGATTGTAGGTCCTAATTGGCATGTTGGGTAGCCAATGACCAGATCTTTGAGGCAAAATGCTAGAATCTCATAGGCAAGTAGTAGCTGAGTGTCGTACATGGTAACCATTGCAATCATAACCCAAATGGGGTTCAGGTTGTGGTGGTGCTTCATGCAGCAGGTGGCCAGGGGCACGAGTCTGTCAAAAATACACAAACCTGATACCTCTGGTCAAAACATGAAGCGTCTAGGCCCGAAACATCAGCCTTCCTGCTCCTATGATGCTGCTTGACCTGCTGTGTTTATCCAGCTCTATACCTTGTTATCTCAGATTTTCTAGCTTCTGCAGTTCCTACTATCTCTGATAAGACCAAGGTTGTCTGCCTGTGGCACTGGTTGGAGCCTTCACATTGACAGTTCAGGGAAAAGAGCCTACTGGTGCTAAGTTTCCAGTCACTCTGTTCTGTTTGGATAATCTATAGCGTCCAACACTTTTAATTGTCAATATGTTGTTATGTGTGTATTGTCTTGTGTTCATCATACAGCCACTGAAATGTTGAAAGAATGATTCAGTTAGGTCATTTGATCCATTGCCTGGTGCAACACTGAGCCACAGAAGCAGGGAACCTCATCCCTGGTCTGTCCTGACGTTGCTAATCTCCACTGAGGCTGCAATACAGAATGAAATGTCCTCAGCTCTTCTGGGTGAGATTGCGTTGGAGAACCTGTCAGGTTTCCTGGCCTTGAGCATTCTCCAGCACCCACTTGCTGTAAGGGTGCCAGGTGTGGATGGGATTTGATTGGACTCAGAATGGTCAGCAATCAGGTAATGCTTGAGGAGACAACGCATGGATTTCTTAAGCCCACTGGGGTGAAATAAAGCAGGGCCAGGGAACCTGAAATCTAAAATGAAACTAGTGCCATTGGCTTCCGTCCTTTTCAGTTAATAATCCAATAGTGCTGTGAGAGCTGTCTTCCATTACTTCCTGTGCCACACAGGAAGGTCAGCAATACTTTAATATATGACAAAAATCATTGTAATAATATTTGTATAAGGTTAGTGGGATTTAGATATGAAGTCTATATGAATACAGACAGAAATAATGTATATATTGTATGATATCAACACTTTGTGCGAAGAAAGGGAAGCAAAATTTCATATACGAAGGGAAACAGGAGGTTATGTAAGAGAGGAAGAATTTTTTTTTTAAATTCTTGATCTCAAAGCGGAACCAGAAATCCACTGATGTGAATAGCTGTCCTAGGTTTTGTTCTTAAAGGGACAGTGTCTTAAGGAGGCTGTGTTGTGGACTTAGCCAGGCTTATTGTCCCTTGGTTATGCATCTAGAGACGAAGTGGAGCGTCCCATTTAAATGTGACAGTCACGAGGTTGTGAGGAATATTTATTTGCCTTTTACCCTTAGACGCTAACAGACCTACTGTGCAATCCTGGCATTGCTAGGCTGAGTCTTGTGGCATCGCTCACAGTTGTCCCATCAGCATTTGCTAATTTGCCCTGTCACTTTTCCTCGGGCAGTTCCTCCGGGAAGCCATGTTAACTGTAGTTGTAGTGAATTTGAGGTCAGTTTCACTTATTGGCATTAAATTGCTGTCTTTTGTTCCAAGAACAAAATAAAGCATTTTTTTTCTTCTGTCTCCAAAGCGTGACATCTCTAGATGTGCACAGACAGATGAATCATAGAAACATAGAATCTCTAAAGTGTGGAAACAAGCCATTTAGCCTAACAAGTCCACATCGACTCTCTGAGAGACTCATCAACTGATGAGTTGAATTCTGCTAAATATAGACTTTTAAAATATATAAATCGCAAACCACTCTTTCTGTTTATCAATTCTGGAACTGTATTTGATTGTTGATTGTTGGAGAGGAGAACACTGATGTAGTAGATGGAAAACTTTAAGGAGATGATAACAGATATTCTGGCCCTGGTGTCCATCTCAAATGTTTACCAATGTCTCTTCATTCTTTTATAAATATCAGTGGTGATTATAGAAATTGACATGTTTGTGAGTTCTGAGTCCTGATGGCCAGAGAGAGGTTGTGTGAGATTTTCATTATGGTTTGAGTAAGTTGTCTAATATCCTTTAGGGAAGGAAACTGCCATCCTTACCTGGGCTGGCCTACATGTGACTCCAGACCCACAGCAATGTGGTTGCTTCTTAACTGCCCTCTGGGCAATTAAGGACTGGCAATAAATGCTGCCTGGCCAGTGATGCCCTCATCCCATGAATGAATTTAAAAGAAGTTGTGGTGTTCGATTTTTCGGACAAGGGAGTCACGGAGAGAGTGGTCCCTCCGGAAAGCAGACAAGGGTGGGGAGGGAAAAATGTCTTCAGAGATATCTCTGGCAACCACCGAGAAACCGATATCCATTTCAAGCCCACCGACTCCCACAGCTACATAGAAAACACCTCCTCCCACCCACCTTTCTGCAAAAGTGCCATCCCCTATTCCCAATTCCTCTGTCTCCGCCGCATCTGCTCCCAGGATGAGGCATTCCACTCCCATACATCTCAGATGTCCTCGTTTTTCAAGGACTGCAACATTCCCCCCGCAGTGGTCGAGAACGCCCTTGACCGTGTCTCCTGCATTTCCCGCAACTCATCCCTCACACCCCCTCCCCGCAATAACAACCAAAACAGAATCCCCCTCGTCCTCACGTACCACCCCACCAACCTCCGGATCCAACACATCATCCTCCGACACTTCCGCCATCTGCAATCCGACCCCACCACCAAAGACATTTTTCCCTCCCCACCCTTGTCTGCTCCACACTCCCCTCCAGCCCCACCACACCCGGCACTTTTCCCTGCAACCGCAGGAAGTGCTACACCTGCCCCCATACCTCCTCCCTCACCCCCATCCCAGGCCCCAAGAAGACTTTCCACATCAAGCAGGTGTTCACCTGCACATCTGCTAATGTGGTATACTGCATCCGCTGTACCCGTTGTGGCCTCCTCTACATCAGGGAAACCAAGCGGAGGCTTGGGGATCGCTTTGCAGAACACCTACGCTCGGTTTGCACTAAACAACTGCACCTCCCAGTCGTGAACAATTTCAAATCCCCCTCCCATTCCTCAGACGACATGTCCATCCTGGGCCTGCTGCATTGCCACAACGATGCTACCCGAAGGTTGCAGGAACAGCAACCCATATTCCGCTTGGGAACCGTGCAGCCCAACGGTATCAATGTGGATTTCACAAGCTTCAAACTCTCCCCTCCCCCTACCACATCCCAAAACCACCCCAGCTCGTCCCCGCCTCCCTAACCTGTCCTTCCTCCCACCTATCCCCTCCTCCCACCTCAAGCCGCACCCCCATCTCCTACCTACTAACCTCATCCTTGACCTGTCCATCCTCCCTGGACTGACCTATCTCCTCCCTACCTCCCCACCTAAACTCACCTTTACTGGCTCCATCTCCGCCTCTTTGACCTGTCTGTCTCCTCTCCACCTATCTTCTCCTCTATCCATCTTCTATCCGCCTCCCCCTCTCTCCCTATTTATTTCAGAACCCCCTTCCCCTCCCCCATTTCTGAAGCAGGGTCTAGGCCCGAAACGTCAGCCTTCCTGCTCCTCTGCTGCTTGGCCTGCTGTGTTCATCCAGCTCTACACCTTGTTATCTCACAAACACTACATGCTGGTCAGCCTGGAAAATACTGGAAAACAACTGTTGAACAATAAGGATTTGTGTTTCTGCAGTGTTTTGAATGAAGTAAAAGGTCCAGAGGAGTTTCACAAAGAAGGAGAGGACTGGAGAGGGATTTCCAGAATTTAGGGCCATTAATTAAGACTGGGGTTCTTCAAAATTGAAAGCGTGCAAGATATCTTGAAAGGTTGGGGGAAATTACAAATGTCAGAGGGAGCCGAGACCATACAGGGATTTGAAGACCACAATGAAAATTTTAAATTATGGCATTGCTGTGTTTTTTTTAAAATTGCAGTTCTCCAGTACATTTCATAAGCTCAGGGCTCCTCAGAGACTTTACATCCAACTTAGTACCTTGTGAAGTTTAGTCGTGTAATTACTGTTGCAATGTAGAAAAGTTTCAGGTTTTCTTTATGTCGCATCTTTTCTGAAAGACAGCATTTTTGACAGTGCAGAGAGATAGTGCTGTCTCTCCATACTTGTTTTGTCTCCCTCCATCCTTGTATTTTTCTCTCATTTTTCCTCCCTCTCTGTCCTCATTGTCTCCCTCATAACCCGTTCAACTGTCTCTGTCCACTGTTTCTCGATTTTCACCCACTCTCTTTCTCCTCCCTTCTTCATTCCTGTCTTCTCCATACTTGTTTTCTCTTTATCCATATTCCCCCTTTCTTCTTGTCCTCTCTATCCTCATTCCCTCCATTATAATTCTTTCTCTCTATGCTTATTCATCTTCACCTGCTTCTTTTCTCTTTTTCCTTTCTCTTTCTATCTCCCTACCTCTTGATTCTCAATTTTTCCTTTTCTTTCTGTCCCTTCTTGTCTTATCTTTCCATTCCCAGTCCCTATTACTTTGTGACTTACATATTTTAAATCCCTTGCCTTGACGCCCAGGATTCCATCTGTGTTTTTATGGTTCTTAATCATTTGCAGTGCTGCTTCTAATATATTGAGAAATAGAACCTTAACCAAGATATAAACTCACTTCTTTTTGTCAATTCCTCCACCTTACTGACTTTATTTTCTAGCTTCTTTTATTCCTCAGTGTTATCTTCCATACCTTCCATTACCTACAAATTGGACTAACACTGAAGCTATCATTTTAACCTCACGCAGTGAGAATTCATTATTGTGTCAGTATTAGTGAGTGGGTTTGTGGGTCATGTTGTTAGGACATAACATACTATCACTGTCTCAAATCAGACACTTCGCACAGTGACCAACAACCCCAGGAAGCTGTTTCAAACACACGTAGGTCCTTGGTTAGACCACACTTACAGCTTTGTTAAAACAGTTCCGGTTTCCATCTTACAAAATTGGCATAAAGGCATCCGGGAACGTGCAAAACAAATTTACAAAGATAATACACTGTCAGCGCTCAATTCTGGTAACAGCAAAGTGTGAACAGGCTGGGGTTCTTTCTTCTGGAGAAGGGGAGGGTGAGGGAGGATCTGATAGATGTCCTTAAGGTGATGAAAGGATTTATTGGTGGAGATCGAGAGAATATGATTCCACTGATGGGGGAGACTGGAACTCAGGATCATAAGTTTAGGACAGTCACAAACAAATTTAATAGGGGAATTAAGAAGAAACACCTTTATCTAGATAACGGCAAGAAAGGTGGAATCTGCTGCCACAGGAAACAGTTGAGGCAAATAGAATAAATGCATTTAAAGTGTTGCTCAAGGAACATAAGACTATGCTGGCAAGGCAAGATAAAATAAGGTAGGGAGTTTTATTTGAAGCATAAACACCAAAATGGAGCAGTTGGGCCAAATGCTGTTATTCCATGCTGTACGTTCAGATAGTGAGGAGATGTGGGAGAGGGGCTAATACTCAGAGACAGCCCTCAGTTGAATGAGAGAGGTCCGAGAAATGACCTGGTCAGTTAACACCATTCTTTCTGAGCAGATGTTGCTGTTCACAGGGAAGTGCTGCAAGGCAGCTAATCAAATATTGAAAAAGAAATAACATTTTACAAGTGGGAATTATCCTGAGCAGCCTTTCTGTTTTTACAAGGTGGCAGTCCTGTTCAGTCTCCTCTTCCTCATTAGGTGCATCTTTCCTAGGCTGGACACAGCCCGTTTAAGACTTGGCCAGTCACTTCCCCTTTAGCAATTTAGATGAATTATCACTCCTTTAATCAGCATTTGTGGGGTTGTTTGGAAACCTCTCTACGGAGCGGTACACAAAATATGAAGAGACACATTTTCCACTAACCTGATAACTGTCTTTCCCTTTCGTTGTTTTCTGTGTGCCCTAATAACAATACTAATACTGTATGGATTACTCTATGGTTCTGCTTTACTTGTTGAATGTCCATCCAATAGCCAGCCACTCAAGGAGTTGAACCTGTGTGTGGTTTGTGTGTAATGTAAAGTGACAGCGGCGTGCTGACTCTGCATATTGTCGGTCCGATGTCCTTCTCTGTAACCACTGGCTGAAATAAAATAATGAATAAATCGTGATTGTTGCATCTGCTGTGTAGCTTGCTGTCTTTTTTGCCTTGCGTTTCTCTCAGTGCCGCTCTGCCTTCCTGCAGCCCTTTGCTCTTGTAATCGCATCACTGTAACGCACGCTGTGGCTGAATACCTGGGACAGACACTTGATATTCTAAATCCCATGGCCTTACCCATGCCAGACCCACATTCCCCCCTGGGACATGGCTACATGGTGGCCCTTGGTGCTGTCTCTTGCATGAGACATTAAAAATTCACAACTGCACTCTCCAGTGGACATAAAACATCTTCTGGTCACTGTTTCTAGGAAGAGTAGCAGGACCTCCCTCCCCTGGCTCCCCAACTCCTTTGGTGGCCTGCACCCAATGTTTATGCTTCATGCAGTATCAGTGAAAAAAGTGCAGGATTTTTTTTTTTTGATCCTATATCTCACTGCAGTTTGAGGAATATGTGGAACAGCCTGTGTCTATGTCCAGCCAAAAAGGGCCCTATTTCCTCAGGACAGACCACTGCTGCGGCAACTAGGATGAGACATCGTTTTAAATTCAAAGGCAGGCCACTTAGTTTAGCTTAAGACTTCCGAATACAAAGGGTGATTTTAGTGTGAAAATGTCTCGCACAGAAACGGCAGATGTGGGCTGAATATATTTCAAACCTGAGATTAATAAAAAAAAACAGTTTTGTCAACTGAGGTTAGTACAAATCAGCCAGAATCTCATTGAATTGTGGTGGAACAAGCACGAAGGACTGAATGGCTGTCCTTCCGTTCCTGTCCTAAATTTTGCCGTGAACATGTGGCATGATACCACAGCAGCAGGAGGCTGGACAGGAAGTGTCCACCTACACCAGAATTTTAATAGCAAGACATAAACACTCGTGGGTCCATAGTTAGCGGAATTTTAACTGTACCCTGGCCTTCCTGTCGCCTTCAGTTTCCTACTTGCTCTGCCCATGATTTCATAAGAGGAAGTGAAGGTCAAAAGGAAAGGAGTGCTAGTGAGCAACTGAGCCTCCTGTATTTCAACTGTGGAATTCTCCCATTCAGGAACCCCATCTCCTCTGTAGCTACATCCTCTGTCGCTTCGGTAGTTAGTAGGAGAAAGCAAGTGACTACTATGGATGCAGTGTTATCCCAGAATAAAACGGCACTAATGAGAACCCTAGGTTGAGCATGGTTTACTTAACAGTTTCCAAAACACAATGAGCTAATTTGGTCTGATTTGAACATAGGATCAGGCCAACAGGATATGTTATATTGTATTGGATTTACAGCATTGCTGTGCTGCTTCTGCATCTTCTCCCACGTTATTTCATACTTTGTGTCAATAGAAGTTATTTTCCTTTCTTCCTGATGTGCTTATCCAGGCCCTCTTCTAAGGATCTAAAATATTTATTGATCAATCTATTGGTCGTGAGTTCCATTCTCTCTATTCTTTGAGTAAAGAAGTTACTCTTTAACCTGTTTCAGAGATAGTAGGCACTGCAGATGCTGGAGAATCTGAGATTACAAGGTGTGGAGCTGGATGAACACAGCAGGCCGAGCAGCATCAGAGGAGCAGGGAGGCTGACATTTCGGGCCTAGACCCTTCATCAGAAAATCTTTCTGAAGAAGGGCCTAGGCCCGAAACGTCAGCCTTGCTGCTTGGCCTGCTGTGTTCATCCAGCTCTACACCTTGCACTCTTTAATCTGTCACTGGATTTATTAATGGTCATCTCATAGCCCCTAGCTATGCAATTCTTCCCCCTTAACCCACCTCTCCCATCTGATGAGTCCTCATCTACTCATATTGAAGTGCTTCGTCATTTTAAAGATCTCGTTCTCTTTCCCGCTCAACCATAAACTCCTTAGAGGGGTTTGAGAGGATATGTGCTGAGAGGCTGTTTACCTGACTGGTTAGTCTATTTACCTAGAGTGTCAAGAGAAGGGATCTGCTGTGAAGGGCTGAGATGAGGAGAAGTCATTTTAATCAGAGAGGTGAATCTCTGGAATTCTCCATCCCAGAGGGCTGGTTGGACTGAAGTTCAGTATATTCAACACTGACATGGCTGGATGGACACTAAGGATATCAAAGGGATAGTGCTGGGGAGGTGAAATTGAAGGAGATTAAACATGATCTGACTGAAGGATGGAGTAGGTTCTAAAGGCCTTGTGGTCTACTCCCACTGCTGTTGTTTTTCCAGGGCACAAAACCCCTGGGCATCTGTGGCATTTCCTGACGGCTGTCCACCATTGTATTTTCAACAGGTCGTAACCACAGGATGTGAAACTGAAGATCTTGTCCTCCTCAGGAACAGTGTCCACCATCTGGGCTTTCAAACCAACGGAGAAGGAATTGTGACCCAGGTGGAGAAGAAAGGCTATGCTGATCTGAAGGGCCTGAAGCTTTACAGCCGGTTGGTCAGGATCTGCGAGATTCCGGTGGTGTCCCTGTCCTACAAGGAGAGGGCTGAGTATCTGAGGAAAGCCAACAGCGTGAGGATAACCGTCATCCCACCTGACAGCAAGGGCAAGCCGAGAATGTAGGCATTCTGTCACAGCAGGACGGCGATAAATGAAGTTTGTCCTTGTTTTATTGGCTAGATCTACATGCCATCAATGTGAGGAGATACTGGTCTGTGGAAAGAGAATGGGGCATGGGCGGGTGTGGGAGGATGTAGGTGCAGCAGGTTGGGAAGGGTGAACATTTTGGGTGGATAACCTTTTGTTAGGACCCTTATCAACCCTGAAGTGTTTACTTGACCCTCTGATTTCTGTAGCCTCATGGAAGGTACGCAGGAGGAGCCTGGGGAGAACCAAGTACTTAGAGAGGGGAATTGGGGTGTTATTGGAGTTTAGGAAAGCTGAATGTTTCCAGAATCTTCCATATTTTTCTATTTGTTGGATGACAATGCATATCTTTTAAGGGGGACAGGGTCTAGACGCTGTTGATGCTAATGGAAGCTATTAACAAGGAGGTAAGAGCTGTTAACAGTGGGCTAGGAGATGCTTAACGAAGAGCAGAAGCTGTTAATGTGGTGTGAGAGCCACTAACAAGGAATAAGGGCTGAAAATGGGAAGTGAAATGAGAAACCAATGGGAAGAGAAGGAGCTGTTAACTGATAGTCCGAGGTAGTTGGGAGCGGGGGAATTGGGGTGTAAATGAAGCTTGGATGAGGAGCCCGAGTTGTTAATGATGACCAGCTGCTGTAAATAAACTGCTTAGCTTAAATTTACAACTGCATGGGTGCTAAGTGCAATTTTCTGATTTGATTTAACGGAAACTTTCGGAAGAAGGTCTGTCATTAATGATGAATCCGCTCCCCTCACAATTAAGGCCGTGACACACTTATTTGAGGGACAAAAGTAGAAATTGCTGGAAAAGCTCAGCCGGTCTGGCAGCATCTGTTGAGAGTAATCAGAGTTAACGTTTTGGGTCGAGTGACCCTTCCTCGGAACTGGAACATTAACTCTGATTTCTCTCCATAGATGGTTCCAGACCTGCTGGGCTTTTCCAGCAATTTCTGTTTTTGTCTCTAATTCACAGCATCCGCAGTTCTGTCATTTTTGTTTTCACTTATCTGAGAGAATTGGTCTTGCTTGACCTGTTCTGAGTTATGTGCTATCAACCAGGGTAGGGGCTTTACAATAACCATCAGCGGTGTTGGGGTAGAGAGGGAGGAATGAAACAAGATTCCTAGATACTGTGCAGTAATCCAAGGGAAATATGAATCTGCATGTGTAACTGTTTCACCTCTAAAGATAGCAGATTACAGGCCCACTCCAGGGAATTAAATCCATAATTCAGACTGATGTTCCGTCAAGTGCTGGAAGCAATGCGCTGTCAAAGATACTGTTTCTCGAATGAGACATTAAACAGAGACGCCCTTCCACCCTTTCAGATGGAAATAAATACCCCATTATGCTGTTGGAAGAGGATCAAGGAAGTTTTCCCTTGAGTCATGCGGTCTGATATTTATTATTCAACCAACGTCACTATAAGAAAAAAAATTGAGCTGGTCACTATCACATATCTGTTTGTGGGATCTTACTGTGTGTAAATTGACTGCCATGTTTCCTCACGTCATGGCAGTAACTCCACTTTGGTGCTTTAAGGTGCCTCGAGGAGGTGAAAGGCACAGTCTCAATCCGAATTTGTTTTCTGTTCTGAAGGAGTTTTTCTGAGCTGTACCGAAAGTCAATCGAGGAGACTGAGCGAAAGGGAGAAAGAGTGACAGACACAGGCCTGGGGTCTCCTTGCTTGCGAATCCTAAGGATGTCCTCACTCCAGGAAACCCGCAACATCAGTTCAGAGGGGGACCAGTGCCTGACAATGCGTAGCTGCTCTCTGGAGAAGACATCGGCCCAAAGCCAGAGGTATTTATGAATGAATGAGTGAATTGAATTATGAAAGCAAAGCATGGCAGATGTCCCGAGAGAAAATAATCGAGAAAGGGTCTTTCTAAGTAGTGGGCTCAAATATAAAGTGGCGGATGTTTTACTGTAACCATACAATGCCCTATTTAGACCGCAGCCCAATTAGGAATGATATACTGTTCTTGCAAGGACTGTAGCATAGATCGCCAGTACATTACCAAGCCTTCCAGGATTAGATAAGGAAAGAAGGCCATTCCATATTCCATTAGAATATATAATGTTCAGGCATGATTTGAATTTAGGATTTTGACAGTAACTGATGGCATAGACTATGCAATTTTTGCTAGTGATGACGGGGGTGAATTCTACAACAAAGAAGTGTAATGTAACAATCAGATCAAACAAGGCCGTTGTGTAGAAAAGCTGGGAAAAATGCCTTTGCACAAAAGGTAATGGATACTGGCTCTACTTAAATTCAGGATTGATCGATTTTTGCTACACTAGGATAGAAAGACATAAGATACAGATCAGCCATGGTCTCACTGATTTACTGAATAGACACCAGGGGCCATTTTTCTGAAGAAGGGCCTAGGCCCGAAACGTCAGCCTTTCTGCTCCTCTGATGCTGCTTGGCCTGCTGTGTTCATCCGGCTCTGCACCTTGTTATCTCAGATTCTCCAGCATCCGCAGTTCCTACTATCTCAGACACCAGGGGCTGACTGGTTCCTGTGAACGAGTGATTGAGTGAGGGATACAGAATCAAATAATGGATAGATTGGGCCAGGTGACCAAAAACTTGATCAAAGAGGTAGGTTTAAGGGAGTTTTTTCTCGAAGAGAAGTGAAACATGGGGAGCTGCATAGAAGGAATTCCGGCATTTGGGACCAAGCAGTTAAGGGGGCGTGTTCATGGTAAAGAGATTATAATTTAGGATCAATAAGAATTTTACAATCATCCTGCAGGTTGTAGGGGCTGGAGGAGGTTAAGTATGGATACTGTGGAGACATGTAGAAACAAGGATGAGAATTTTCAAACTAAGCTGCTGCCACAACAGGAGATAATGTAAGTCAGTAAGTGCTGGGGGGTGGATAGGACTTGGTGTGAGTTAGAACATAGGCAACAAGGATGAGCTGATTTTCTGAAGAAGGGTCCAGACCCGAAACGTCAGCTTTCCTGCTCCTCTGATGCTGCCTGGCCTGCTGTGTTCATCCAGCTCTACACCTTGTTATCTCAGACTCCAGCATCGGCAGTTCCTACTATCTCCAAGTATGTGCTGTGGCTAAGTTCTCTTAGCATAAGATCAGATGAGGTAGTGGTTGGTGCATATCAAACCTTCCATTATAGGAAGGTTTGTCGATGGCAATTTTAGCCGGACTTTTTTGAACACTTTGACGGCTGTAGTTTCTCTGTTTTCAGGACTAAGGAAGATGCTGACTTCAGTTCCCTAAAGATATCACCCCCTGATCTCATCTTGGCTGCAAACTCTCAGCACCTGCTGCCTTCTGGAAACCTGGAGCCAGATGCAGGTGATGCCCAGGTCAGTAACGCAGCTACGCCGAAAGCAGAGTTCATGCCCTGTGACGTGTATGGGGATTTTCGACCTTTGATTTCCGACGCTGTTCAAAGTAGCTAGACTTAAGTTGGAAGTTGATGTGCTGTCTTCCCTGCACCCGTCCCCCCTCCCTGCCCCCCAAACCCCACCTCACCGCCTCACATCAATGAATGAATCTGAGATAATTAAATGATTGGTTCTTTCGAAGGAAAGTAGGCCATTTATATGGTAACTGCAGCTCCCGCCAATCAGGCGAAGTTATGGCTTCAATGACTTAACAGATGCCCCCCCCAAAAAAACAAAGACTATTCTGAGTGTTAACCTGTGAGGATTGGCAGACTGTGGGATAATTGAATTTAATTGCTGATCTACAAAGGGGCTTGCTTGGAAGAAGACCATTCTGTAGCACCTGGTGTGGTACATAAACCTATGTTTCCGTCTGTTACCAACACGAAAGAATTCCTACGGTACTGATCTCGGTGCAGATTGCTCATGTTTTTGGTACTGACTGAGGATTTGAACTCTGGGGGTGCACTGAAAATTTGCCTCATACATGTACAATTTTGCTTTGTGAAGGTCTGTGAGAAACTTTTTCATGCGCAAGTTGCGTTGTTTATCAGTCCGTGTAAGAAATATGTTCTGATCAGGCTACCTTTATCCTCTTTATGGATTTATTCCAGTTTTTAATGGTTTTAAGTATTGTACTCAGTATCTTGCTGTGTTTCACTACTTCTGTATATTACCCAGCCTGTAAATAAATCTGAATATTAGTTTTAGCTATACCCATTGCTTTGATAGTGTGTTTTCTTTTGTTTAGCTTTTCTACGGAAGTTGGAAAATGAGTCAGGCATCCCATATTATTTGGTGAAGTGGGTGGGTGAGTGTTAATCCAGTCCATGATAAACAGGGACATGGATTAGTGGTGCATTTTTATCATGAATGCAAAGTAACAATGTTCCCCCAAGCCCCACTAAGCAGCCTGGCCATAATTTATTTAATATACTGTGAATTCAACGAGGCACTCAGGCCCATGACTGGGACAGGCTTTACAATCTGAGGATCAGCCTGAACTTGATGGAGCTGGAACCTTGACATGAAATCAGGACTATGCAGCATAAAATATCAGAGTAGAATTAGGCCATATGGCCCATCAAGTCTGGTCTACCATTCACTCATGGCTGATACACTTCTCAACCTCATCCTCCTGCTTTCTCCCCATAATTCTTGATCCCGTTACTAATCAAGAACCTATCTATTGCTGTCTTAAATACATTCAATGACTTGGTCTCCACAGCCTTCTGTGGCAGTGAGTTCCACAGATTAACCACCCTCTGACTGAAGAATTTCCTCCTTATTTCAGTTTGGCTTATTGTTGCTAGTGCTGCACTCTATTACAACAAATCATGCTGCCTTTATTTGGGCAAGAGGTGGCAGTAAAGTTGACTGTGACCTTTTAAAAAATGTTAAAAAAAACATTTAATGGTGGAATTCCTGATGGGTTCTCCATTGTACAATCCTGGAATAAATAAGTTTGAACTCCCAGTCGAGGTAAAGGACTAGGGCATTCCGATTGATGGCCGGGATGGTGGGAAATTTGCACAGTTCCTCTCTAATCCTCCACTAGCCTGCCTGAGTGAACTGGTCCATTTTTACAGCACAATGGCATCCTCTCCCTAGCCAGGCACAAGTCCGGCTCCCTGCTGTGGTGAGAGGTGAATGATCATTCACTGCAAGTTGCAGAAACTCAGTCAGTGGGCTGACTGTTCTCAGAAGCAATGAGGAACTGCTCAATGTTCAAACTAGCTTTTCCGTTATATAACTTTTGAATGCATTCCAGTACATCTCATAGAATCACAGACTAATACAGTGGAGATGTAGGCCGTGTGGCCCATCATGACAATGCTGGCACTCTAAAACAGCTGTATATTTAGTTCCACCACCTCCCCCATCCACTGCTGTTTCTCCCAGGCTCTGCCAATTGGACTTCCTTTCAAATAGCTATCCAGTTCCTTTTTGAAAGATAGTGTTGAATCTCCTTCATTTTGGGCAGCTTGTTCCAAATGAAAACCCTCTAATTAAGATCATTTGTTTTGTGGACACAATCCTAGACCTCTGTTATTTTATCCAACTTCACACAGGCTGAGTCTAAGTTGCTCTATTGTAAACAGGCGTAACTGAAATAAACTGATCCCTACATGTAAGGTGTTTTGAATGAGGAATCAAACCTGTCACCTCTTTTTAACCACTCCAAAACCTCAATATCACCCATGATGTCAGGAGATCAGAATGGGAAATTGTATTTTTCATGAAACCTAAACCCAGGTCCTCCTCTATTTTGAATCTCTCCCCTGTGGCCTCACCCCACTGATATCTCTGAAACTCCTCCAACCCTCTAAGATCTTGGCCGTCCTCCAATTTCGAACTTCTGTGCATTATCCTCCTTGCTTCTTTTTGCTACACCATTGACGGCTGTGCCTTCAGCTGTCTGAGCCCCAAATTCTGGAATTCCTTTAGCAAGCTCTTTGACTCTCCTCCTTTAAGAAGCAGCTTAAAAACTACCTCTTTGATCAAGCTTTTGGCGACTTGACCTAGTGTGTTCATATGTGCTCTGTGTCAAACTTTTTGTCTGATTTATGGTGCTGTGAAGAGCTTTTGAATGTTTAACCGTGTTAAAGACATTGTATAAAACAAGCTGTCGTGGTTGTCTGTTTCAAGGGTAACATGACAGGATCTCTTTACAACCTGTTATATGTGTGACAATCAGAGTTTGAAATTATGTCCAATTTCAAAGTGGATTGCTCATGTTATGGATCATATCCTGAGTATCTCCAATAGGCTGCTCTTTTCTTTTGTGTTTCTGCTGAGGACTCAAAAAACTGCTTGCACAAAAGAATGAAAACATCTGGAGGGGATTGCAACATCTTTCACTTTTGGAGGGATGCTCAGAACAAATATCCTTCTAAAGCTTTTATTAGAAAAAATATTTATTAGAAAAAATATGCTCAGAACAAATATCCTTCTAAAGCTTTTATTAGAAAAAATATTTGCTTCGATATGCTCATTTGTTAAGGAATGAAAGATGCAAGTAAGAAAAGACCATTTTAAGTGTGTTTTTTACCTTCACTGTAAAAGTCATACCCAAGAAAGATGAAGGGTAAGCAGCTGTCCTATCGTAATGCAGGTGGAGACGGCCTTATCTAACTGCAGTATTATTTTTCATTTTCCACCAGCAAAGGAAATATTATCTGCTTATTTTCCAGGAATCAATAAGAAAAATAATATACTTCTCTACCTCTGGTGAGATCTTTGACCAATTTATTTCTGTATCTTTTCATGGATGATATGCAGCCTTCTCACTATAAAAACCCAAGAGTCTCAACTCCCAGAATATCTGACAATGATCTGCTAATATGTTTGAGTGCTGTACACAATTCTGGTTTCCATATGACAAAATGGACATTGAGGCACTGGGGAAGGTGCAAAGAGGATTTGTGATGATGATGCTAGAACTGAGAGGTTATAACCACCAGAAAAGGTTGAAGAGGCTGGGCTTTTTTTTTCTCCAGGAAAGAGAAGGCTGAGGGGGGACTTTAGGAGATTGCTAGATGTGGAGACAGTCTTCCTACTTGAGGTGAGGGAGAGGTTGGGGGCGAAGAGACTAGAAGACGGGCCGAAAGAAGTGAGATGGCCACAAAACAAATGCAATAGGAAATTCAGGAGGAACTTCAATGAATGGTGAGAGCGTTGAATTTGCATGGAGAAGTTCTGGTGAAGAGCATCGGTACACTTATGGGGAAACTGGATAAGTACTTGAGGGAGAAAAGTATATATAGTGCTAACTGAAGGGTGGAAGGAGATTCGTCTGGAGCAGAAATAGCTGGCATATACCATTTGGGCTGAATGGCCTGTGACTGCGCTGTACATTTTGTGTAATTCTATATCTGAATATACAGGTGTGACACCATGTGTCTTGGATAGCATTTGTCTGACTTTAAATTGAAATGTGCTATTGGGGTGGAATGACTCTGTGTGTGTGTGTGTGTGTGTGTGTGTGTGTGTGTGTGTGTGTGTGT